ACAGCATGTAAAAATATAATATAAGCTCTGGCGGATTTGGTTCTATGGTAGGTCTTAAAGGGTTAATAGCAGTGTAGAATGAAAGCAGCAACTTTGGACCAAGCAAAAACAAAACACACATTTGGACATTTTATGCATGACCAGCTAAATGAATGTAAATTACTGTGACAACGTGATGCGACGGACTGTATAAAAGATGGATGTAGCTACACTGGTTGGCGAAGTCTGATTTTGAAGCCTTGAGATGAGCGTTTCACAGTGTCTTGTCACTTTGAAACCAGATGTGTTTGATTGTGATTGTGAAACTGAACGCAATTCCTGATTAATCATCCTTTTTCAAAATTAGAATGTCTAACATTTACAGAATATACTTGATGCGTTATTTAGTCTGATCCAAAATGAGGGGTTGAGCCCACAGACTTGTAGAGCAGCGGTCTCCAACCCCCGGGCCGCGAGAGTTGAGGCTTGGGTGGGAAATTTATGGTTTTCAGGGTTTTTATCATTAACTCGGTTTCCCTGGGTCTTTTCCCATGTTGTAGTTGTGCGTCTTATTTTGAAAGAAATATTTACGCGTTACCATAGCGACCAGAGAGGATTATAAAATATTGTAAATATTGTCTGACATTAAACCGATTGGGGACCGCTGCTCTAGAGGACTGAAAGTCTTTTTGCAGCCACAGGTATCGCCACCTGGTGGCCAATAAAAGGATGTCAGGTTTTAGCCACTTCCATGTTGGCTTCACCTTTGAACCAGAAGCTCCGTCCATCCTTTATTTCATCTGTTTGTGACTCATACAGTTTACCCTGCTGCAAGGTTCCATTTGTGTTAATACTAATGTGTGGCTTACCAGGTAGCATGTGTATGCCTTCACCAGGAAATATATACTTATCTTACAACATGTCCCCAGGAAAGAAAGCAGTGAAAATGTGGTGCTTGGAGCTGATATTAAGCCAAAATTGGGACTGGATTATGTGTTTATCATTATTTATCATGTTGAGTTAGCCAAGTTTAAAGGGATTCTCCATTGGGAGACAAATCTCACTAGCCCATTAATCTCGCTTCCTCATACATTATACATGCAGTATTTACTAGGGAACATTTAATCAGACATAATAGTGCCGTTTGCATGTTTTTTTTCCTGAATGTAAAATTTTGTCCCCATGTTTATGTATCTTTGGCTTGGCCAACTTGGGCCACTGCTGTTGGTAGGTGCACCTTTGTTTTGCAGGACCGTTTGCATCTCCTATAGTTGAAATGCCTGGTTTTGTAAATTTATAAAAATATGTTACTTTCTAGGCCCTAAATCAATCTGTCCAATTGAAAAAATTGTTCCTTCAAGCCAAAATTATTTTAAAGTGTCTGTTTTGTAAAGCATAAAATAATCTGTCTGGTTTGAAGCAACGCGGCAAAGAATTAGTTTTTTTTTGATTTACTTCTTTGTCTTCAAAAGACAAAGCCGAACGAGATTCATATTTCTGTCTTTGTTACTGATTACCAGGTGGCAATTTCAAGACATCATGACCTCTCCACAAATGACAAAAAAACTAAAGCTAATCTTCCTGATGAGCAGTATTAAATTCTTAATTTGCAGGATAAGTATCTAAACGTTGGCTAAAAGTGTCATTTCTGACACACTCAGCGAAATTTGTATTATAATTAAAATTCAGATACTATTGTAATGTAATGCATACATTTTAATAAACATACTCGTAATTGTTTTATGACGGTTTTCTTTATGCGCCTCTCAAAAGCCAGGCTCACTTGAATAGTTGCACACTCTGGCATCCTGTGCTCTCTTTGGAATTAGTTCAAGAGCAATTAGAAACTTATCACAATTGTAGCCCTCGGCACTGCATGAGCATGAACACACGCACACGCATACACACACTAATGTACTGTATCTTTCACTAAACATCTGTTTAATTACCCCTCCTAGCGTTGTCTGTCATTTGCGATATATTGTGCCACTATTATATTTACTAATGAGAACATTCGCACACATGCTTGCACAGCTATACTTCCACACACTCACTGGGCGTCTGAAGCATTGGCTCATTTTGTTGTATTTTGTTTGCAGACTTGTCAGGTGATTCTGAAATATTTGTGTTTGCACATATGTCTCTGCTAATACTTGATAATTAAGAAGATTTGTTTTGTCTTTTTAAAAGAAAGTTCAAATTGCTTACTTTATTGTATTCAGAATAGCTTTAGTGCTTTCACTGCCGTTCGGACTTGCAAAGCGAATATGTAATGATGAGCAATTTCCAGTCGCTAATTGGATATTTTAGAGCCTCAATTATCGAGCAATTAGCAGTGCAGCATAGATCAGAGGTCATGACATCAAAACGGGCTGTTTTTCACTGAAACTGCAACAGCTTAATGTTGGATATAATGATGAGATTATTACGCTCTGCCATTACAGTAATACTTAGGATATGCTTTGAATTATTTACCTTCTGTGATTTCTTTCTCCACCACCATTCCTAGGCGAGCAGCTCCCTCGGCAGAGTTTTCCGTAGACAGGACGCGTCACCTGATGTCCTTCCTCACCATGCTCGGGCCCAGCCCAGACTGGAATGTGGGGCTGTCAGGAGAGGACCTCTGTACCAAGGAGTGTGGCTGGGTCCAGAGACTGGAGAC